TTTGCCTAAAAGAGCTTGATTAAAAGGAACCAGTCTTCTATTACCCAAACCCCCCAACTTCATAGGCTTGCAGACTTGCTCCTATCTGACAAGGTGGTACTTAAACTCATCTCCTTTTCCACCCCAAAGGAAGTCCCTTTGAATTTTTTCAATCCTATCAGCAACGGAGCATGGAATCTTGAACATGGATAAGAAATATGTGGGAAGGCTCGATAAAGTGCTCTTTATAAGAGTAATTTTACCCCCTTTAGACAAATATTGCTTCTTTCAACTTGCCAATCTCTTCGCACACTTATCAATCATAGGGTCCCAACTACCCACTCTCCTAGAAGAAACCCCTAAAGGCAAGCCCAAATAAGGAATGGGAAAAGAGCTCACCCTATAACCAAGAACTGCAGCTAAAGAAGAAATATCTTGAACATTTCCTACCGGGACAAGCACGCTCTTATTCACATTAACCTTTAACTCGGAAACTGCCTGGAAACAAGTCAAGATACACCTCAAATACCTGAGTTGAGACACATCAGCATCACAGAAGACCAGGGTATCGTCTGCAAAAAGCAAATGAGAAATCTCCACTTGATAGATTAAATCTCTTCCCACCTTGAAGCCCTTAATAAAACCAAGATCCGCAGCCCTTCGCATAAGTTAGCTTAAGCCCTCCATAACAATAAGAAAAAGGAAAGACAATGGATCTCCTTGTCTTAAACCTCGAGAACACCCAAAAAAAAACCAACAGGAGATCCGTTCACAAGAACTGAGAACTTGACTGATGAGAGACAAGTTTCAATCCATTTCCTCCATCGACTACCAAACCCCATTCTTTGCAACATATAAGAAGGAACTTCCAGTTCACATGATCATAGGCTTTCTCGATATCAAGTTTGCATAAAACTCCAGGAACTCCGCTACGCAACCTCGAATCCACACATTCCCCTGCAATAAGAACAGAGTCAAGAATTTGTTGTCCTCCTACAAAGGCATTATGGGAATCAAAAATAATCTCATCCATAACTTCCCTCATCCTTAGAGCAAGCACTTTAGCCATGAGCTTGTAAATACAGCCCACTAGGCTAATTGGTCTAAAATCCTTGATGTCAGAGGCACCTCCCTTCTTAGGGATAAGGGAAATAAATGAGGCATTTAGCGACTTTTCAAAGACGCCAGTAGCATAGAGCTCCTGAAATGTACCCATAACCTCGTTCTTCACTAATGCCCAACTTTCCTTAAGAAAACGCATTGTAAACCCATCAGGTCCTGGAGCTTTGTCCCCATTACAACTAGATAAAGCTTTTAGAACTTCGTCTTCAATGAAAGAAGCCTCAAGCCCGTCTCTATCCGTCTCAGAGATAGCCTCAAAGTGGAGATCGTCTAGTTTAGGTCTCCAAACTAGTGGTTCAATGTAAAGCTTCTGATAAAAGAGACGATCCCATTTCGTACCTCTTCCTCCCTCTACAACTCCACACCTTCCACCCAAATACGACCTATGTGATTACTCCTTCTGTGAGCATTAGCAAGTCTGTGAAAAAACTTTGTGTTACGATCTCCCTCTTTTAGCCAAAGAGCCCGGAGTTTTTGTCGCCACGAAATCTCTTCCATACTAGCAATTTCATCAAAAACAACCTAGCAAGAAGCTCTCCTAGAGCGTAAAGGCTCCACATCCCCGCCCGTCTACTCAAAACGATCAATTTCGGAAAATTCAGCAATAACTCTATTCTTCCTCCATTCAAGATTCCCTAAAACATCCTCATTCCACTTTATAAGATCGAATTTGAGAGCTCTTAACTTCTTTGTTAACATAAAGCTGGGTGAACCTGTAATAATAACTCCCTCCCACCAAGAAAGAATATTCTTTTGGAAATCCTCCGCTCTCAACCACATATTCTCAAATCGAAACGGGAATCTTCGGGAGCACAAACCCCCACAATCCAGAACCAGAGGAACATGATCAGAGGTAACCCTTGCTGAGACCGCCTGAACAACATCCAGGAATTTCTCTTCCCAATCTCCTGAAATCAAAAATCGATCCAATCTTGAAAAAGTGACTGGATCCCTACCGTTTGACCAGGTAAAGGCTGCACCTTCCATTGGTAAATCAAGGAGAAGATGCTCTTTAATAAAATCAGAAAATTGATCCATTTCTGAAGACCTCCTTCCCCCTGTAGATGTCTCAGTTGGGGATCTAACAGAGTTGAAATCCCTACCCAGACACCAGGGGAGAGACCAGAATTCTTGAACATGGCAAAGCTCCTCCCAAAAAATAGGTCGATCATCATCAACAACCAATCCATAGACCCAAAAAAGACCCATCTGAAATTATCCTCTTCCATTTTAAACTCGCTGGACACAGAAAATCTCCCCTTACACACATCCATTCTAGACAACCATCTGCTATCCCACATAATTAAGATTCCGCCCGAAGTACCTATAGCATTTAAGACTTCCCATTCCACAAACCTTCCACCCCACAAACTCCTAACCACCACATCAGAAATGGAAGCCAACTTGGTTTCTTGCAAACAGACAACCTGGCCCCCCATTTCCTTAAAGCCACCTTTACCACCCTCCTCTTATTCGGGTCATTGAGACCTCGAACATTCCAAGTAATAATTCGTAACTTCATTAAAAACCAGATAAGATAATCTCCCCTCCTCCCTTTCTCAAACTCCTGCTTCTAGTCCTTCCCCTCTCCCTCACCACCCCTTTCTTCCCTTCATAATCGACTTCAGAGATAAAATTCTTAATCTCCTGTGACCCTTTCCAGGACGATAAAGGCCTGGTGTTAATAACCTCATTAGCCACCGCCACCTCTCTCCCTTCCACTATTGCTTGAAAAATGGATAATGTCTGGTCATTGTTTCCATCTGATGAAACACCCAATAACTCACTAGTGACTCCTATATTTTCGACTACCCAATCTTTTCCCATATCGTCAGCCATTCCGGGTGAGCCAGGTCGCATAATAGCCAATGGTTCCACATCTGAACAAACATTCTCAAGCCAAGGGGCAAGCTCTGTAGAACAAGCCTGTTGGAATGAACCCGAATCATCAAACACCTCATCTTCAAGATCTCTTCCATTTTCAGTCATCGAGTCCGAGTCTGTAACATAGTCACCCAAACTAATAGACTCTTTCACTTCTCTCCCTGCATAAGGCAAGCAATTAAAGCCTTTCAAAGCTACACGTAGGCGTAGATCTTTGAGAAGAGCCGAAGCCTCATCACTGGATAACTGAAATTCGAAAGCTCTTCCCACATTGACCGTGACCCCCTCAGGCTTATCATTAACTATACAGTCCACTGGAACAACATATTCTGAAGTAACAGACCCGTAGGTAACCTTCCATTCCATATTCAAACCCAACTCATCTTCAGGTATCGAGGGCATAACTGTGAGCTCACTGCACTTCTCCTTTGTCAATTCCGTATCATTCCTCAACCCAGAATAAGGAACAGAAGAAGAAGAGGGAGCGTAGGAAGGGCTCCTGAGATGATGATGGGCTGAAGACATACCTGAATCAATGCGTACCCACTTTTGTTTGTCATTACGAGACCACCTGTGACTGCGACTACCCTGATGAGAGCCGTTAGTACTGAAGCTTCTAACAGATGGAAAATCAAAACCTGATTTAGGAAACGCTGCAGGAAAACAACACGTGTTGTGTCGAAAAGTCATCTCTTCCGCTTTCAACTCGTCGGCGCTTAACTTCATCCACCTTCTCTTCTCCGCCGAAGACCAATCTTTGCTTAGATGACGACGCCGTGGAACAAAATCTGAAGAAACAGCATGACTGGGCTTAGACAATTGCTGTGGGTTGGGCTTGTCATTTAAAAGAGATATGGTTAAGTTGTTATTGGACCCCCGAGAAACTTTCCTCTTAAGCCCCTTAGTACTCAGTGGTACAAAATGTGTTGACCCATTATCCAGCCCATTAACCAGAGACGAGCCAGAATTCAAAACGGGCCCAAACTTAAGCCCGTTAAAAGCTTTGGCTTGAAAGGCTCCTTTGATGCCACGTGTCCTCCTACGTGGTTGGTGACCAGCTGGGGGATCAATCCAAAGATTTGATGGGCGCTGTTTAGGGGCGTTATGTGCACCACTCGGGAACCTACTTTCCCTAGTCGTAGCCGGTGCGTGAGGGAACACCCGTCTCTGTCCTTGAGAGCTCTGGTGGATCTGCAACTTGTCTACTTTTGTTAATTTCGTCAAATATTATAAAAGTGATGTAACCCTTTGGACTTATTGTGCCTTGGATGTAGGCCCTAGTGGCTGAACCACGTAATATCTATGTGTTCTACTTGTTTTATTTATCTCTTCACTTCCGTTTTATGCTTTGCAACACAAGCTCGTTGCCGACTCGTGGGCCTTCCTCTCCAATAAGTGAAGAAATCATAGTACGACCATATGGTTTCCGAAAAATGAAAAGGCCAATCAAATGACTACAAAAAATTCTCCAAAAATCACCATAATTACCAGAAAAGCGAGACGGACAAGACCATATGATTTCTGAAAATTTCCAGCCTACAGATGCTGACATCAGCATGGCATCAGCGTGTAAATACTGACGTCACTCTCTTCTGTCACCTACTGATGCTCTGTACAATGTTTGGATGAATTTTGGTTGAATTAGAGGTTCTGATACCAAGTTAAAGTTGAAGGATTATGTGGTTTAGGAAAAAGGAGAAGAGGAAGGAAGAAGAACAAAGAGAGATCTGTAAAGGATGAGAGTGTCATAGTGTTTCCCACATCTCTCACCTATTTATATATATTGATGAGATGAAAGTAAAATAGTGCCCTTAATAAAAGAAAATAATAAACTCAAACTCTCCAACAATATACACACACAAAAGATAAGACTAGAATACAGATAATTTCATGGTCAATGAATATGGAATTAGAAAGAGAGAGAGAGAGTAGTTGAGGGATTTAGAATTGGTAATCTGCCACAGAACCATTTTAATAACATCCTTTCAATAGATAGATGCAAATTAAGAGATTACCCATGATGGCAGCAAGCACAAAACGATTGTCCAGGCTCCACATAATCATATTAACACCACGGGGAGTTGGAAGAAGTCTCTGTCGTGGACCACCTCGAGGAGGCTTAGGCAGAATTGGGGGAGGAGGAACTTTGAGATGATATGCTCGTGTCCAACGTCCAACTTTTCCCTGAATTGGTTAAAGAATTATAAGAGGAAGGGAAACAAAAGTTAATATGTTAAACATGTAACATGTATTAAATTCAATTTAAGCACACTGAACTTCACAGCAATGAGATTGTCTTACGGCTATGGCACCAAACTTTTCACAAGATATGGGATGTATATCCACTAAAATAATTAGGGCTCGGATAACAAAACCAAAAGAACTCACATGAGATCTACGTGATCTTGGAACCCAAATAATCGCACTGCCATCACGTGAGCAGGTAACTATATTGTCGTGGCTAAACCTGGGAATTTTAATATCAACTATAGTTGGATACAGATGATAAGAAAGCACAAGGTAGTATCTATGGGATATGCACAAAAACTAGTTAAGGAGTCAATGGTAAAAATTTAGCGAAAGTGTAAATAACATAATGCAAATTGGAAGGAAGTTATTACATACCAGGAATTTTTAAATTTTGGAATGTTCTCTTCTGTAAAGGTATCAGAGGTTGAAGATCTTGAAGCCACAGCACAGCCACTGCACGTAGAAGCAGTAAAATCGTCCATAAGAATTATATGCAGGGGAAATTCAATTATTAACCATTATGACTAACCTGAATTGCACATAATTGACATCATTTTCATGGCCAGCCAACAAGTCAATCTCATGATTTGGTTGCTCTGGTTTATCTGCATTAGATTTAGAAACACTCCAAACCTGCAAGAAGGTATTGTTTGCAAAAGTAATCCAACTGGATCTACAGCAACATTTACCCATACCACAACGACAAAGAATAACAGTACAAGAAGAGTAAGAACCAGTCTAAATTTTCTGCCTTCGCTCGTACCCTTGCAAAAGTGTCAGAGCTTCCGGTGACAAAGAGGGTTCCATTAGCATTGTAAGCACAACATAATATGCAGTGTGAATCATTACTTGAGGAGGGACCATTACTAGTGGAGGGGCCATTGCTTTTTCCTGCAATAAATGTCCACACCCCCAGTAAGTTCATCACCCAAATTCCAGTTATACAGCTATCAGCAATAAACAAGCAATGATTTTACCAGCAACGGTATCTGTTGGTTTTGGTACATAGATACGTGGACTCCACTGGGAAGACCTAGCATCCCATATCCGACAAGTGCCATCATCAGATGACCTACATATGTTGAAAACGGTGCAGTAAGAAATGCAAAAAGATATAGAGTCATAGTTGCCACCTTGCAGTAAGGAAAATATTCAGTTGTAGGACTTAGATAGCATATTTTGTTAATCAAAACTTGAGTCTATAATTTTGTTTTTATTTTTAGATTAGATAGAATTTTTGAAAGTTAGTTAGTATCTGTTAGTACCCCTTGGTCATGGTTGAAGATGGAATTCAAGCTTCTTTCAACGGTAAAAGCATAATCTTCTACACCAAGGGTATAAAGGTAAATTGACACTTCTATGCACCGAAACTAGGGTTAATGCATTCATAAATTAGGATTTTAACATTTCGTTATTAGACTTGGAAAATCCTAATTGATATGCATATAAAGTGTTTTAGAAACTTCCTTTTCTGAAATTTTTGTGAGTATAGGACTGCAGAGTACTTCAATCGATCGATATCTACTGGAATTATGTCGATCAATCGAGCTGTTGGCAAAAGTAGTTTCCTTTTCTAGCTTAAGATATTATAACACTATTTTGGCTAAAAATGCATTACTTTAGGGCAAATCCTACAGACACATATTTTTGAAAGCCTCTAAGAGAAAAATTGAGTGAATGCTTATTTTTCTTTTAGCATTCAACATCTGCATTAGATTGATGAGTTTAATTTAAGTTTGTTGAGAACATAATCATCGCGGAGCTGATTCGAACTAGTTCAACACCAACAAATATTAAATCAAACCGAGAATGATTTGGATGACTGGTCATTGGAGATTTAATCACTGGTTGGAGAAGCAGATCGCGTGGGAACTGGAGCTGTTGACGAGTAGGCTGTGCACCTGAAGAAACTCGAGTGGAGATTTTGGATGTTTCAAGAGGCAACTAGGGATTATTGGGTTAAGAAACTTTATTAACTGGCCATAACTTCTTTCTCATAGTGGATTCAGTTTGCATGAACTAGGTCCCATGGTTTTCCATTTAGGTTTTCCAAAATAAAAAATAAAAAAATCTTGGTGTCCTACTTCATACCTTTTTTTTTTTTTTTTTTTTTTTTTCTTTTGATTAGTAGTATAGAAAGCGTTTACTACTACTATTTTTTTTTTCCCCGTAAATGAGGTGATTCCATTGAACAAATTAACAAATCAGTACAGTATGAACATTTAGTTTTAGTTCATACTTAAAATTCTGGTAATTTAGTTAAGAATATAAAAAGTAGTTAAAATTAGGTAAAGCTATAAGGATTAGGAAGACCTACTCAACACTGACAAACCACCCCCCACCACAAACCTCCTCCTGGGTCCCTTCTTTCTCCTTCTTCTAGGTCTAGATGAAGGACGTTGTGCAACTCTATATCAAAGCCTAGGTTTCCAGTCCTTCCCCATTAGAAAGGAAATAAATATTGCCAACACAAGCAATATGGAAAGCTAGACTTGTTAACAAGCAAGAGCAGTCACATAACCATGTAAGAGCATTTAAAAAAAAATTGAATTGGAAGAACATGCTATTTAATATAATACAGAGCTCTTACCAATTTTAGACCTGCCATGTTTAATTACAATGCTACTTGGATTCCCACCAAGCAATCTAGACCTATACTGCTATATGTACAGGATAGATCAAAGCATTTTACAATGAACCCAAGCTGAAGTAATTAAATTCCAATTGCTACTAGTGTTAAATGTACTGGTACGAGCTAGGAAGGTGTACTTTGTACGTCCTCATACTTCTAGTGAATATAGAAGTATAGAGCAGTCAGGCCATTGTGACTGACGAACACTCATTTCACTCCATACATTTCTCTTTAGTGCAATCTTGTACCATGGTATCAGAGAACTACAACCCATGCCTTATCCTTGATATTTTTTTCTTAATTCTTTCCCAAATTTACGTTCTTTTTTCTCCACAGTTGAGATGCAAAGTACTATAAGTTTGTGAATTGTGATTACGAGCAAAACCAATCGATACTCCAACGGATTCAAGTATATAGTTAAGCTCAGATGCAGAACTACGTAATGATCCAGGAAGATATCGAAGACTTGTTGGAAATTTGATATATTTGACAGTTACAAGACAAGACATAACATTTGCCATAGGAGTGTTAAGTCAATTTATGCAGCAACCTAGGCTACCTCATTTGGATGCAATATATCGAATTTTAAGATACTTGAAAAGAGCTCATGATAAAGGACTTGTCTTTAAGTCGTCTAAGAACATGGATATTGTTAGGTTCACGAATGCAGATTGAGAAGGAAGTCAAATGGATAGGAGGTCTATATCTGGATATTGCACGTTTCTGGGAGGTAATTTGGTAAAATGGAAAAGTAAAAAGCAAAATGTTGTGGTAAGATCAAGTGCAGAGGCAGAGTATAGAGCAATGGCGCATACAGCTTATGAAATGAAGTGGGTAAAATCTCTTTTACAAGAGATGGGTTTTTCCAATGACAGGCCTATGAGAATGATTTGCGATAATCAGGTTGCTATGTACATTGCTAGCAATCCAGTGTTTCATGAGAGAACTAAACATATCGAAGTAGATTGTCATTTTGTGAGACTTGGTGATGAGTAAGAGGATATTTACTACTTATGTGAGATCCAAAGATCAATTGGGAGATGCATTTACTGAGGCATTGGGAAAATTGCGGTCATGTATTTACTAAGGCGTTGGGTGATAGTGTAATAATGATAGAGTTGGGGTCATGTTTTAAATAAACAATACTTCTAAGTGTGTATATATGTATATATCATATTGTTTTAGGGTTCTCTATGCTAGAGAATACCCCCAAACCAGATCTCTCCTCTCTCAATCTCTCAACAGGTCTAAACTTCTGTGCTACTAAATCAGATCTCGAAATAAAGAGACATACCTGAAAAAGTCAACTCAAATATTGATCTGCAAAATTGTGACAATATGTAGTCTCTGATAGGTAGAGACCACTGTGTGCCTTACCATGCCAATTATTCTCCCCGTAGTATCTGGAAGACGCAACGAGTAGGAAAGAATGTCACAGAATGATAAGCGCCGAATATTTCATATTCAAGCGCCCTTAATTGCATGTTTTAGTCTATTTAGTGTATTAATAAAGTGTATTTTACAGGCTTTTGTATATTTTGTCTATTTTCAGGGTTTACCTCCAAAAAGGAATAAAAGCGAAGTTTTACAAGACTTCAATGAACATGGGTCATTGCGAGCTACAGAACCAACCAAGTGGCTCTTAAGTCCATGAGCAAGCTCAGCTTGAGGAAGGAAGTCGGCCCGAGAAGCCGGGCAAGAAAGATGAAGTGCATTATTGAAGAACAAGGTTGGCGTCCGGACGCAGCCTCCAAGAGCATTCTTGGCGCCCGGACACCCTATGGAAACGTGGCTCAGCAATTGCAAGTTCAAGAGAAGTAAAATCCCAGTAGCCAAGGAAAATTGCGTCTGGACACCCATCTCTGCGTCCGAACGCCACATGCCAAAGACTGCAACAAAAGCACCCCAGCGCACGCAAGGCACACAGCATGACAAGCTGCGTCCGGGCGCCCATCCTAGTGTCCGGACGCCAACTTGCAAATAAATGTGGAGATTTGAATTTTCAGTTATTTTTCTCTCTTATCCACTTGAATGCACGAATTTTGAGGGAGATTTTGACTGATTCTGACTATGAGGGCTATGTGCATATCTCTAAATTGTATATTCATATGATTTTTCAAATTTGTATGAATTTTTAGAGAGAGAAAGTGAGGAAATAGCTAGAGTTCTCGAGTGTTCTTGAGAAGGGCCGCTATGGGGCTGAAGATGGAGGCTTTCTCTTCTTTCTTTAGGGCTTCCACCACTACCAGAATGAGCTAAATCCCTTCCTAGGGGATTGAGGTAGCCTTGACCAAATAATCATGTAGCTTTTGCATTCCAATTTGGGGAAATGATATTTTATGTAATTGATTTCATGAATAAGATGATGGTTTACATTGAATTAGTGTTTTTACATTGAAATAGTGTATGATCTGAATTGAATTCCTATATATGAGTATGTTTATATGCAATTCTTGTCTTAGAACTATATTTACATAATCATACTCTTGATGTTCTCATAGTGACATTGAGGATTTATTTCATGAAATGGCTTTATTGGCATGCTATATAGGAATTTGGATAAATTATGCTAAAGGAGGATGGACCATGCTACACCTTTAGATTAATTTAGTTAGGTAGATGGTCCATGCCTACTGAAGATAGTTTATACTAGATGCTTCACTTTCATGTGCTAAAACTTACAAATTCAGAACCTTGATAGGCCATGCCTAGGGAAGATGGCTTATACCACAACCTAGTTTAGGTGGATGAGTCATGCCAACCAAAGATAGGTTATGCTTAGTTTTGAATTGTATGAATTTCTGGCAATTGTTGTAGTTGTACGCTTCTACACATTATAGTTATATATAATTGTTTTCTCTAAGTTGATTGCATTGTAGCATGATTATGAGGTCTCGGTGAACTCGATTCCCTAGTCTTCTCTCTGTCAATTCAACCTTTGAATTCATTTTAAATTTTGTATTAAGTTCATTATATGCTAAGTGACAAACAAACCAATCTTCAAACCAAATTGTAACACTTAACAAACTTGAAATTAATCTTTGAATTTTGATTGCCATAAGCTAGCAATCTTCGTGAATCGATACCCTTGCTTAACCATTTTCTACTTGAATTTTGAGCTATAGTTAGTGGTTTATTATTGATACACCTGTGGCACACATCACAGAACAATCCAAGGATTTCATAGTGCCACCCACAAATGGTAAATTAGTAGAGAAATTTGGAACATGAAGGACAAATGATAAGAACATAGAAGGAGAGCAATGAATAAGACCCCTTCACCAACAGGCCTGTGGCCTAGCTGTACAAGGCTCCTACTTTCCAAAGGGAGGTCAGGGGTTCGAACCTCAGTGGAGGTAGTGTGTGTGAGTCCCAACTAGGAAAAAGAAAAAAAATAAATAAGACCCCTTCAGTAAACAGAAAATAAAGAACCATTTGCCACATTAACTTTATTTTTCCCGGAAGATATAGAGTAGGTTGTAAAGAGATTGCAAGAACATGTATGTCATATGGTCTGTAGTTCCGAAGTTACTCATCCAAGGAAGCATTAAGCACAATAGCAGGAATACCCGTGTGCGCAACTTGTGGCACAGAAGTAAGAAGAGTCAAGTCGAGCAATCAATCGTCAAAGGGTATTAGTTCCTCAGTGGAAAGAGCTACTGCATGTGAGTAGCTTGAGTAAGATGAAGGCTCCGAAACTTCTGTCAATGAGCATCTGACCATATAGGATTGGCTGACCTCCAACCCTTCCTCGAGTAAGGCGAACATGTAGTTTCAACAATGCTCTCTAGTGTGTCTTGGTTTTCCGCAAAAGTCAGAGTTTAGCAAATGTTTCTCCAACCCACCTCCTTTATTAGCTACCAGCAACTGATCAGCTTTGACCACATTTTGATGAAAAGATGCTAGTGCAGAATGCTTCTGATTAAGAGTATGTAACATGGCATTCCCCCTTACTCTCTTCCTGGTAAACATATGCAAAAGCCTGCCTCAATGAAGGAAATGGGTCTTTGCTAAGCACCCAGACATGTATTTGATCATACACCATATTAAGTTGATCCAAATCATCGTTCTCAAGTAACCTCTGAAATTTGGCACTATGACTTGCAGGTTCAGGCTGAAAGTCTTGGTAATAATCAAGCTCCTGCCAGAGACTGGTAAGTTCTGCATAGTACTCTCCACTCATATCCTTCTGTTTAGTCTCGTGAATCTTTTCCGTAACTCATAGAATTGAGCAACATTGCCTAAATTAAGAAAAACACTCCAAATTTCATGAGCGTATCAAGAAGAAGATACTGCAGCTGATGTGGGGTTGCATAGAATTAATCAGCCAGGACAAAACCAGTGAATCAAATCCACTGGTCATAAGATGAAACAAATGGCTCCGGCTTTTCAGTTATTATTGTTCAATATTCAAACAAGCCACGAGCCCGAACCGAAAGCAGGAAAGAGCATGATCATGCCAAATAATTACTCCAGTGCAGTTTTAAAGTACTAATCAAATGGGATGGAGTTATCTCCAAGTGCCAAAACACAACCTAATTCTCCTCCCTCATTACTAGTAGAGCTGTTAACAACCATCTACTCCAAAAGCTTAAGCTGTTAGAGAGGGTGCAACTTTTATATTTATATCCTTCAACTCGCCCCCTCACGTGCGGCCTTCTTTTTGGTCCAACACGTGTTTTTTTCAATATTATAATTAAGGTGACGGTGAGGTTTGAACTCAAGACCTTGGGCTCTGATACCATGTTAACAACCATTTACTCCAAATGCTTAAATTGTTAGAGAGGGTGCAACTTTTATATTTATATCCTTCAACAAGAGCTTCCAGTGATTTCTGACGTTATCTCAAACCAGAAACAAAGCCAGCCAAAAAAACCAACAAAATCAATAACTCAACAAGATTTTAATTCACCAAGGTCAACAAATAACACCATATGCAGAATTTTGCACATGATGCTCTGGATGAGGAGGCGATCGAAATGGTGTGATTTTCGAGCCCTTCTGACCGTGACATCAGTGTAAGGACGTTGATGTTAGCATACCCTCAGACCATTTTTTTTGTTCTTCTGAGTGCTGCGATGCCCTTCTGGCACCGACCGCTTGCTTTGATATCACTTTAAGTTTGTGATTAGGTTTGAGAGAAGGAAATTAGATAACTAAGAGAGACAATTCTGCAGAATGAGATACATTCTCCTCCTATCAACCAAACAAACCCAAGACCCTTTGTGCATTAGCATTAGAGAATAAACCAGAGGCAGCCTGACAAGTTGCACGGACATGGGCACATCAACATGGCTAAGTTCATTTCTCTCTAGCGCATTCTAAGTTAACAGTTTGATTTTTGAAATCGTATGATGCACCAACAATCCAACATCATATTTTTTTTGGTTTTTGGACACAACTAATTACACGTCGCTGATTGGATGTTTTTGTTGCCATGATGATTGTTCTAGTTGATTGTCCTGATTCCACAGATTGTGATTTGGTTCTCTCATATTCAGGCTTGCATTTTATGGTCACGAAATGTGACTGGCAAGTGTTGTTAGAAGCCTTCTAATCTTCTGTGTGCTTGTTGGTTCCAGACAGCAAATTTATCTGGTTCTTGTGATCTTTGGTGTAATGTGTCTGGTATAGTTCTAAGCATAGTTGATGACATACGAGTATTTGTTATAATTTTCTGGCTCAGTACTTGTTCGACATTATATCAGTTTAACTGTGTGTTTTCTGGACTGCATAGTGTATAATGTCTTGATTGTTATGATGACAGTCTAGTAGGAATGATATCTGTCAATGTTAATTTCTATTCATTTATCCAATAATGAATGGACCACTGATTATTACCATCATTCAGATAGGGCTAATTATTTGTTATAAACCCAAGAATTTAAAGTGGCACTGAATGCTAAGAGGAGGAGGAAAATAAAACACTGGAGTCTATTCTATCTGAACCCCCACCTAGTGATAGACGAGGTTTCTGATGAGCAGATTTTAGATCCGTCCTTTATTTAACTTTGTTGTGGCCTTGTGGGATAGCAGAGAACCATCAGTTAATACCTACTTTATGTTTCTGACAAGGTTAAGGAGATTACAGATGCCCTGTGGGAAATGTTCTGGAGAAAATATCTCGTGTGTCTGAGTTTAATGAGAATACTTTCAAAGTAGTTCATAACTTAGAAAAATAATTTTCTGCAGCAAAGAGGCAATATCTGTAAATAGCAGAGAGATTGCAGAGAATATGGCTCACGACAAAAGCTGGTAGATAGAACCGGGCCTGGGACTAAATGCAATGGCAGTAACAGCTCCTATATGTCCCCGCAAAACTGAAATAGGAAGCCCGTCTGGCAAGCGCCACTGTAATACAGAAGAAAAACTATTTGCTCATCAAGAAATATGAAACAGGACATATTTATTTGTAAAGTAGAAAATTTTCTTACAACTCGAATGTTGTAGTCATTTGAAGCAGAAGCCACCAAAGCATTGTTTGAACTTACAGCCAAATCAGTAATGTCACCCTTTCAATCATATGATAAGAGTTAATAAGTAAAATAAAGAACAAAGACAGAGTAGTGTATTGTTGAAAGATGAACACAAGGATATATAACGTGGTTTGGCCACTACAGCCTACATCCAGGGACGGATCTATGTACATGTCAGTGGGGGCAATTGCCCCCACTGAATTTTTTTACTTTTAGTAATATACCCTACTACTTTATTTATTTTGATATATATACTTATAAAATTACACAACTGCCCCCACTAAAATTACTAAAAAATTACACTATCACCCCCACACACAATTTCCTGGCTCCGTCCCCGCCTACATCCATGGCACACAAAGCCCATAGGGCTACATCACTTTCATTATATTCTCTCTTAATATTGTTTACATTGAGCACCTCTATTTATAGGTGAAAGAATATAAGTGCCCAACTTGAAACTAAATACAAAGTCGTCGAGAGTCCATGACAAGTTAATCAGGAGATCCGAGACGAGTTTGTTCCGGAGATCTGAGACAAGTTTAGAGTAGGTTATGATAAACCTGCTCTAATACAGTTGAAAGATATAAAGAACATAAGGATATAACATGATTCGACCACTACGGACTACCATCCACGGCACACAAAGCCCAAAGTACTACATCACTTTCATTATTTTCTCCCTTAATATTGTTTACAACGAGCACCTATATTTATAGGTGAAAAAATACAACTGATTAATGTGGAGAATACATTGATAGAGGATTCCTAAAATCAATCCCATAAATCACTCCAATCAATATTCTATCATAGGCTAAAATCATTCCTATGATATTCTCCCAACATATATAACCAAACCAAGTACCACAAATTATATAGACATTCCAACTTACTTCATGTCCACGGCAACTGGCTAGGCAAAATGCAGTTTCCATTGACCAAATCTTAACCAAACGATCATCCGATCCAGTAATAACATATCTTCCTGAGCGATCAAATATTGCTACAAGACAAGCAAAATTAGTATGAACAAATTTTTAACCTACTACTTCTGTATAAGTAAAGCCATCATGACAATACACTCGGATCTGTATCACAAAAAATACACACTGGCTAAACAATAATTAGAATTAGAATACACCCACATATGAACAGAAATCAATTGGAAGATTCGACAGGCATTAATAAATGGAATTTCTTAAAGAGTAGAGTTCTTAAGCATACATTCACTAAGAGCTACCATCACGATGCAATTAAGAATTATAACCAAGTACCATTTGAATAAATGGAATTCCCAGATAGTTCAGACAACTTGCAAATCATACCACAATAAACGGCGTCTCGATGTCCCCTCAGCTTCTTAAGATTTTGCATCTTTTGCACCATAGTTGATGGTTTAGCAATAGCATAACATGCAAAGCGAATGGATGGAGCACGATGGTGTTTGGAAAAACCCCCTCCAATTTCCCTCAAACTTAGCCCATGCACTTGATCAGCCTGAATATGTGGCCAACGCAGGTAAGCTGGCATAAGCTTGACTTCCTTCTTTACTTTGCTCCTATCACCTGTTTAAACAATAAGTAGATGGATCATATCAAGTAACATGTAACAAAAGTAAAAATGGGAGCAGGGTGCAGAACAAAGTAGAGTAATCCCAGCAGATACCAAAAAACCAATATTATTTTCAAATGTTAACACTCCATTTGGTAGATGGGATGGAAAAGTAGATGGAAGGATTAGGAAATATGGAAGAATCATTCCTAGGAAAGGGAAGGTATCCCTCCCTTGTTTAGAATGCTTCAATCGATAGCCAATCACTAGTCGATAGATCCATCCTGTACAAAGCTTACAAAAACTATAATATAGGGTTTTTAGGTCATTTTAACATGCATTAAAGTTATATTGTAAACAAAAAATAAAACAGTAATGCATGATATACAACCTAACAATGAGTAATCCATCTTTTACGTTGGACCTCTTACTTTCTTTACCTTGTAACGAACGTAACCATTTCAATTATACTCAACCTTGGATCGGAACTAAACATTACAGATTCCAGCTACTCTTAATATCCATAACAAATTTGTCAATCATATTTGACCCTAAATCCTAATATCCATAACTATCACTATGGCCTTTATGAATTATGGTTTCTGGTTACTTGAACTCCATATAGCAACTTCATAGGAGCAACCTTGGATCGGAACTAAAAGCTACAGATTCTGGCTATTGTTACAAAATTTGTCAATCATATTCGGTACTAAGTCCTCGTATCCATAACAATCACTATGGCCTTTATAAGTTCTGGTTTCTGGTATCTGGTTACTTAAACTTCATATAGCGATAGAAATGCAACTTCATAGGAGCAAGAGGTGAGGAATGTGCTTGGAGCTGCTGTCCAACAAGTTCGACAATTTACTTCCCTGCATAATCCGCCCATGGGAATACTCCTGAAATAATTAAGTATAACATAAGGGGAAACAAGGTGTGAATGCCATTTGAACAGTAAACACACCATTACGCAATCTTTTGGGGTATATAGTTTACAGTGAACTTGGAGTTTAGGATCTTAATTTTAAAATAGCACACTGTAAAATATGCCATTGGAACAGTGAACACACCATTACGCAATCTTTTGGGGTATAAAGTTTACAGTGAACTTGGAGTTTAGGATCTTAATTTTAAAATAACACACGCTGTAAAATATGCTCTCACATGAACAAAAAATTTGAAATTTTGTGAGCATCAAAGAAGTTGCCCATCAAATTACTGTTCCAAGTGATCATTCAAACATTTTCATTTCACGATTTACTTTTACCCTTAAGATAATACAGAAAGCTTAGAACAGAAACAAAACCAAACCAGCCCAAGGTTTCAATTGTCAATTAATGCTTCCAAGCTGTCCAGGAATCTAGCATATAGAGCGATCACTAAAATTCTTTTTTTTTTTTTTTAAAAAAAAAAAAAAATGAAAATTGAAATAGTTTAGAAATTCACATACAACACAGAAGAGAAAAGGGACCAGTTCCAAGCAGTGTCGTCACATCAGCTGCACTTGGAGCACTTCCTCTAACCATGCCTTGTAATGGAGGGGTTGTACTCAGTATCAGTTCTTTCAATAGCTTTACCAAGTGATCCTTTTCAAGTTGAGGATACCTAACGATAATACAAGGTTGGTATGAACCCATTAATAGAGAAAAATAGGGAACATTTAAAAATAAATTCAACTATAAAATAAATTAGTTAATAAACAAAAATAAAATAAAAAAGGTAATTAAAAAGGTGGTAAGAAAACTAAAGAAACCTCTTCAGCCCTGAAATTACATCCCCCAACTTTTTTGGAACTGACTCGGATGATTCCCCTTTTTTTACTTTCTGTCACATCTTATCTATGTTGCTTTAAGCAAATGATATTCCTTAATAATTATTAGGGATAATCACGCTGACCTCCCCCGAGGTTTAACAAAACTACACACAGTACCCGTGTTTTCAAAAATTACACTGCACTCCCTTGTCACAACTTGTCGGCTGACTCTGTTAACAGAAAGTTATAAAATTACCATTGTACCCTTATTTTATTAACATGAATTTAGTAGAAAAGTCAATGAAATATAAAAAGACTAAAAAACCCATATTATTAAATCCTATTTTCTTTCTCTCAAATCTCTGTCTCCACAAATCCCAACGTCCAATCTCAGAATGCCGGAGCACCGAAACCTGAAACACCAAATATCAAATCTCAGAAATTCAGAATTGCTTCACCCCAATAATGTTTCCCCTCCATGAGAACCCTAATTGCCTCTGCATACGAAAGAAGTTGAAACAGCAACAAAGTGTCGGGCCACACCACTGGCCACTCTCCAAGCCCTAGAAGCCCATTCCGCTATCTTCTCAATTGATCCCATTTATTTGTCCCACTGCCTGATAAGACATGCCTGGAGAGCATCACACCTAGAGAACTATAGTATAACTAAAAAGAGTGAATAAATCACTACATTTTCTATACCAAAATATGTGTAAATAAAGTCAAATTCCATGATTCTAGGCTATCATATCTCGGCTAACATGGTAAGTCACATCCATGATTTTAGGCTATCATATCTCAGCTAACACTCCCCCTCAAGTTGGTGCGTGGATATCTGAGACGCCCAACTTGAGCAATGCATCCTCAAAGATAGTCTTCATAAACATATAGCCAATGGCTATGTTTGGCTGCATTGAATTGACTAGCCAAGACATAACCATGTTATCTCCAAACCACTTTGGATATGTCTTATCTGACATATAATCAATCTTGCCTTTGCCACATTGTTGGTCTATGTCCCGTGGTTTGCTCTTTTAATGTGAAATCAATATTGTATATGCTTAAAGACTCTGCATCCTATCATCTTGTTATATTAGCTATGATCATGTAGTCATTATATTATAGGTGTACACTCTCAGTTGACTGCCTTAATTTGGATTTAAGTTTAAGGCTTTTCAAGAAGTTCAGATCAAAGGTTTTTTTAAGATTAAAATGTCATCATATCATACTCTCATGACATCATTCATATGGACATATGTGGACCATTCAAAGACCACAAGCATAGGTGGTTGTAGGTATTTCATACCGGAAAATGATGATCTCTGTAGAATGACCTGGATTTATCGCTTTCTTTTAAGGACAAATGCTACTAATTGTTTTATCAAGTTTGTCAATGAGAAAAACAGCAGGATTAAGAGGCTAAGATCAGACTCTGGGATCACATTCATCATAAGGGAGCTTGATGCATCTAGCGACACAAATAACTGGTATGACAAGCTACACTATTTCCTTATTGAGCAAAGGGTATGCAAAGACAAAGTGGTATCAAATTTCCTTCTTTTACAAATCTATGATATATTGTGTTGTGGCTCTCATTCTTGCTTAACAGAAGATTTTGCTAAGATCGTGAAATTTAAATTTGACATGTCTTCTTTAGGCACTTTTAGATGTTCCATTGACTTTCAAGCCAATCATAGAATATTTTCATCTCCCTAGGTAACTATGCCATGGATATCTTGAAGGAAAAAAAACTCTACTTGAATGATAGTAAAGTTGTCAATCTTATTTTACACACAACTATCTTTGGTAGTCTCTTGCATCCCATAGCCTCGAGACATGATGCAATGCATGTTATTGGTTTAGTAGCTGGATTTCAAATTGCCATTACTATTAGCGTGAACCACATATTGTACTATAGAAGCATCATATAGACATCAACTATCACTTTCTTAGAGACAATGTGCATAAAGGCTTAATTAAGATTGAATATGTTATTATGTCTCTACCGATGTTCAGTTGGCTACTATTATGACCAAGCCACTTCCGGTAGCTATGTTTGAGAACCTACGAGCTGCACTGGGTATTAATGCTCCATCTCTCTAGTAAAAATGCTTTTGGTTTGTCTTGCCTTTTGACTTTCAATGTCAAAAAGGGGGAGAAACTAGACCTAGAGTGCCTGAAATATGGAAGCTAGAGTTGGTGTGGAGTTATTAATTATATAAACTTATGGAGGTGTTGGTTACTTCTTTATCATATGTGACTTGTTAATAGGGTCGAATTGATTTTTGACCTTAAAAGGCAAAAGGGGGAAATTGTTGGTCCATGTCCCGTGGTTTGCTCTTTTTATGTGAAATCAATATTGCATATGCTTAAAGACTCTGCATTGTATCATCTTGTTATATTAGCTATGATCATGTAGTCATTATATTATAGGTGTACACTCTGAGTTGATTGCCTTAATTCGGATTTAAATCATTGCGGTAAGAAGCATTAACATTTATATAACAAGTGCGGACTAACAATTCTATCAAAGTTCTCTTGGTCTATTCCTATATAACAGGTCACATGGAGGGAATTAAACATCACAACATGGACAACATGTGACCCCTATTTGGCTTTCTGCATAAGGATTAATCAAAAAGGCTGTTTGGCATGCTTAGTGTAGCAATGGGCATAATGCTTTATTATAAGATATCCAAGGGCTGAAAATTGCTTTAACCAGATGGATGACATCCTTCTCTTTTGAGCTGTCGGTTTTGTCCTCGAAGCAAGAACAGTTTTTGAATAAACGGCTGTGATTTATCTTGTTCAAATAATTTAATGGCTGAGATTGATTGTCTGATGATAAGGTTTTGTGTGGCTATGCTTTGGTCTCTCTAACCGCTATATGAGAAAGCTGCCCATTTATATATGTGTTGATCTCAGATAAAAACTGAGAGCTTGGTTGGTGGAGCTATAGAGCTTAGAGAGAGAAAACCATGAAATGTGAGCCTTGAAGATGCAATGTTGGTCTGTAGAGCTTCATATATACATACAAGGCAGGCCAAAAATTGAAGACGACATACAGTGAGCTTCGAAGAAGCACTCTTGCCGGAGCTACATTACAGACCCATTTCCGGTGTGCTCAAGTTCAAGTCCGGCAATATTCAATCCAACCAATCAGTCCGGTGATAGACCCAAAAGCTGTACCCTTATTCTCCACCGGTGATAGACCAGAAGCTGCATCCTTGTTTTCCACCGGTGAAACCTTACCAGCCCTTGACCAAGCCCCATTAGCTACACCACAAGTGTAAGATTCATGCCAAACGATTCAATAATTCAAATAGCTACTTTGATAAAGAACCTTCATTCTTGGACTCTTGTCTTGCACACTTTTCAAAAAGCATGGAAGTGGGGGAGACTTTTCAGCTACCGACCGTTCCACTTTCTTCTTTATAGTTTCGAACCATTTCACTTGTTACAGCCTCTTAATTCATTCTTGCCTTCTGGAATACAAGATTGGAGATGTTTGCTGGGATATTTGGCCTCTTTGGTGTTGTTGTGAATGCTCTTAATGAGGTTGGTTCGAGCGTAAATGACCATCTCTGCTCCCCGTATAAGTGCCAAGGAAGTTCGTTGCCTGCAGATGCCGTTTCGGGATTGGAATTGTTCGTTTTCTCTCTTCAGTTGTGTAATTCGGATGTGGAATGTGCACATTTTTTTTTTTTTTGATAAATAAAATTATTACAATGTGAGTATGATGGAATGTGCGCATTTTTCATTTATTTGATTTCATCTTTCTCAAATATTTCAGATTTCTTAAACAAAATAATGCATTTTTGCTTTTCTTTGATGCACAAAATGTCATTTTTTGAAGTAGACTCAGGTGATAGACCCAAAAGCTCCATTCTCGTTAACCACTAGTGAGACCCAGAAGTTTCATCCTTTATTTATCACCGATGATAGACCCGGAAGCTCCATTCTTGTTTTCCACTGGTGATGGACCCAGAAGCTTCATCCTTGTTTTCCACCGGTGATAAACCGAAGCTGATCCATTGCAGATCTCCATTCATATATATTTCCGGTGAACTCAGTTATGTGTGTTACCATTGAAGCCAGTGAGAGCAAAGCTCAGAGCAGCGACCGAAAACCAGTGAAGAATAGTGGTAGTCCGGTGAGACACAGTCTCGAGTTCGGTGAACTCCATTGAAGAGCTCCAAGTTATCACAAGATGATACACCATGACGGCAACTCATTTCAGTAAGCTCAACACCGGTGACAGTGAACCCAGTTCAGTTCCGAGCAAGCAACGATAGTCCTTGATGGCAACCGAACCCAAAGAGCTTCTAAGCCATCTGCAACTACCAGCAAGACCAGAGATCATGAACATCTTGCATGTGCCATTGATGAACCGTGAAGGGACCAGAGTTGGTGAAGTGAACACAGTCCGGGCATGCTCCAGTTAAGGTGAAGTTTCAGTTCTAATGAGCTATAATGATTCCCATATTTGAGCAACATTGAATATAGAGAGAGAACATTTGAGTAGGTTCCACTGGGAAAGTCTTAGACAGTTTATCTTGGTGCTTGAAGGCATTACTTACGCGTAGCCGTTTAATTGTGAATTTGTTGGTATCACTCCATTGGTTGTGATCTTTATTTGGAAGTTATTCATAGTGGAATTTGGATTGAAATCAAGCACTAGAGGTTTCAAAGCAATAGACATGGAGCTAAATTCATATACATATGTCCACTGTCACCTATGAACAAGTGTGCAGTCCGAGCATCAGTGAAGCTGTCAAAGTCATTCCAAAGCAAGGACTGAGGCTGAGCACAAGTCTAATATTCCACCTGAGTCATCCTACTGACAGTGAAGTTTGAGAACAATATTACACTGTTCATCAAGTAAGGCTGTGAAGTTTCCACTTTAGTTATATGTGTATTCATTCATATCTGGTATAACTATAGTGGCATCATTTGTATTTAGATATCTCTTTGTGAGTGACAATTGTGAATATTGGTCCAAACATTAGGATGTTATGGACAGGGGAGTGCTAGAGCGATTGTTGTGAGATTGGTGTGTGGTCCAAGCACGGGGGTGCTTAGGGGGATAGTGCAAGAGTGACTTGTATGTGAGATTGGTGAGGGAGTCCAAGCACAGGGGTGCTGTGGATAATGTGAGTTCAGAGTGAACTTATGGTGAGCTTAGTAAGTGCCAGCTGTGAGTGAGATTGCGTGAGAGTGTCTCCAATTCATTCATAGTGGATTTGATGAGCTAGGCTTCACAACCTCAAGGACGTTTCCCCACACTGGGGTTTTACCTCGCATATCTTGTGTCCTGCAAGCTTATTATTTCATGTGTGCATCCACCATCTTGCATTAAGGAGAAAAGAAAAGAAAATCACACAAGATACCAATTCACCCCCACCCCCCTCCTCCTCTTGGTATCTTCAAACATCCTAGCAAACTGTGCCCAGATCAAATAGTTAAAACCATCTAACACTGTGGTGATCGGAAGTCCTGAATTCTGTAATGAGTTGGTGGGCACTACCCCTAGAACTCAAGCCATGAGAATTAACAGTAGACTTTGAAACTGCCAAACTCTATCACTCGACTATAAACAACTCCAAAACACCAAAAATCTTGTTAACTAATCAAAGTCTCGTCTCAGACGATAAACAATCAACAATGTCTCCTCAGACCATTCCCTTTCATACACATGTTTAAATATGTAGATGAAAGAATCAATAATATCTCTTCAGACCATAAACAATCAAAAATGTCTCCTCAGACCATTCCCGAAAAATCCAAATACAAACTTTTTTTTTAGGTCAAAAGTCTTCACCCGCGCCCCCAACCCATCTCCCCCCCCCCCCCCCCCGGCGCACGCGCGAGCAAAACTCGCAACACCGTCGTTGTAGTCAAGAACTGGTCTGGCTCTGATACCAAGATAAAAGAAATACAAGATATATGTGTAAAGGCTTGAATGAGAAATAACACTCATTCACAGCTCGAGTATTTATATACTAAAAAGAGCACATGATAAATTACAAGAAAGGAAGCATAAGATTTATCATATCTTGGCTATAAAGTAAAAATATAAAAATATACGCGTAAATAAAGTCAAATTGATTCTAGGCTATCATATCTCGGTTAACATGGTAAGTCACATCCATGATTCTAGGCTATCATATCTTGGCTAACATATACATATATATGAAAATGTGTTAATGGGTTTTTGTGTTTGTGGTTTTTTCTCGTATATATGTTTGTTTGTCAATGTGTGTATAATTGTATGTATGGGTAGAGATATGAGAAGATGTATATCACAGGTAAAAGAAATTTGATTAAATAAGTAGATGAAGTTAAGGGCAATCTTTTTTCTTTTTTTTTGTCATTCTTGTAATAGGTATAAAAATGTGATTTCACAATATTGTTAGGAGGACGTTATAGTCTTTCATACGTTTGAAGGATAAAATTGGGATTACATTACGTATTTTTTTTCTGTCAACAGCTTTATCATATGTTAACTAACAGTCAACTCTAACGGAAGGGGAGAAAGTAATACCAAAACACGGTTACCATGTCTGGGTTTGTTAAACCCCAGGGGAGGTCAATGTGCAGTGCAACAAACTATACAAATGATCCTATAGTTTCCCATATGGTCCAATTTAGTACTATTAGTTTTCATTTATACAAAGTCAATATAGCTGCCAATGGTTCAGGCAAACAAAAGACCAGAAGCATTAAAGCATATAAAACTGTCATGCATAGGTACAGACAATATAAACTTAAAAGTTTAGAGCAAACACTAGAACAAAAGTCTCTTACTTCTAGTTCTGAATTTCTTACAAAGTAGAGACTAATAAGGTAAGATAAATTAAGAAGCATGCTGCAAACCTTTCCACCAAAGTAGTGTGATCCAAAGGGAAAGAGACACCATCATCGTTTGCATCCCCACTAAGCACACCACTCCTTGAGTACCAAGCATGATATCTCCTAGGTAGAAGCTGATGTTCCAGAAGTTCATTCCAGAAATGTCCAAAAGTTTTCTTGCATGGCCCAGCAGATAAAAAATGCATAATCAAAAAGTACACTTCTCTAAGGTCAATATTTACATCTGGCACAGCAGCATGATCAGCAGCTATCTCCATTTCATTAAATTGAGCCTTTGCATGCACCTTATTCAAAAAATTCAAAGGCGCCATACTTAAAGAAGGTTCTTGATCAAATAAAGCACGCTTCCGGAAATCCATACTTTAAGTACAACCTAAGGAAACATAAGAAGCATTTGTTCAGATCATTTAATTCAAAAGCACAAGGGATGCAAATGATTAATGAACACAGACATGCAGAAAAAGCAATGACAAAGAAGTTCAAATACATTCTCAGAAATATAAGATAGCTTCCTATTAAGATTATTAATCACAAAATGACTCTTGACCCCTCATCAATAAAGCAAGAATCAAGGCAACTCATTACCTGTACTGCCGCATAAAACCAGCGTGGAAGAAGAATTTCTTTTTCTTTTTCTTTTTCTTCAATATTACCCCACTTTTACCGAAATAATTCTCTCTAACTTAATAAGCATTTTACAGAAGAATAATTACCCCACTGTTCATGTATTTCATTCCCAGAGGCGCTTTGAGAAATGCTTGAATGCCACTTTAGTGCCCTCATCCCAATAAATGGAGGAGCTTCGGATGTTAAGAATTTCAAATCTATTGGTTTGGTGGGTTGTATCTACAAATTAATAGCTAAGGTGCTTACTCTGAGATTAAGGGATGTGTTGGATGGAGTTATATTGGAATCCCAAAACGCTTATGTTGGTTGTCGCCAGATTCTTGACTCAGCTCTCCTTGCCAGTGAGCAGGCACAGACCTGCCTGGGGACTAGGGGGGGCGAATGCCCCCTCTGGAATTTTTTTTCTTCCTATTATATATTAGACTTTTTTTAAATATATATGCCATGCCCCCCCCTGAAATTTCACAAATACCCCCACTATATAAGTTCCCAAAATATATACCATGCCCCTGTATGTGCTCAATGATTCCCAAAATAAATACCCCCTGAATGTGCTCAATGATTCAATGAACAAAAAAAATATTTTTGCTTATTATGATGATTTGAATTGTAAATGTGTTCAATGGGATCCTTTTGTTGTTTTTGGGACGCGTTCCCCTTTTGAACGCCTTTAATGAATTTGCTTAATTATCAAAAAAATATATATTGTTATTAAAAGGACGCCCCACCTAACATAATTTCCTGGGTCCGTCACTGCCAGTGAGTGTGTGGATGCCAGGTTGAACAGTGGGGTTCCTGAGGTTCTTTGTAAGCTTGAAACAAAGAAGGGTTACGATTATGCCAGTTGGAGCTTCCTTCTTTATCTGTTGGAGATGATGGGATTTGGGAAGAGATGGAGGAAGTGGACTGAGTTCTGCATTTCCTCAGTAAGGCTCTCGGTTCTCGGGAACAGATCCCCGACTGATTTCTTCAGCAGTTTGCAGGGATTGAGGCAGGGAGACCCTATCTCTCTCCTCTCTCTCTTTCTTTTTTTGATAAGTAAATATATATTAACAAAGACGCTCAAAGGGGAGCGAACTATTAACAAAGCAAACAAAAGACGCAAAAGGCGCCATTACAACGGTAAGTTGTCAACAAAATCCAACAAACTGTCCACAGATGGACAGTTTCTCCCATTAACCCAAAAAAAAAAAAGAGAATGCAAAACATGCGACTTAATAGACCACGTCGGTGCCTCCTTTCCCTCGAAAGATCTCCTGTTCCGCTCGAGCCACAGCCCCCACCAAACACAAAGAGGTGCAACCCTCCAAGCTTTCCTAAACCGACTACCCATTGATCTCCCTCTCCAAGCCTCTAACATGTCCACCGTGTTCCTTGACACCACCCACTCAACCCCAAACACATTCAGAACCATACTCCAAACATCCGCTGCCGCTTTGCAGTGCAACAAGAGATGGTTAACTGATTCACCCGTCATCTTACACATGCAACACCAATTTCGGCCTCTTCCTCCAAGATTATCGAGAGTAAGAATGCTGCCAAGTACCACTGTCCATGTGAAAAACGCCACCTTCAGTGGAGCTGACGTCCTCCACACAGCCTTCCAAGGGAAACCGTTGCTTAACGAATCCGTAAGACTTTGGTAAAATAACCTCACCTCAAACACCCTCTAGAACACCACCCCCCCCCCCCCCCCCCATCCACACCATCTCATCCCTTCCTTCCCCCTCCACCCCTTGACTATATATTAATCCCATTAAATCTGTAAATTCCAGTAACTCCCAATCATTAAATTCCAGCAGCTCTCAATTTCTGTTCATGTTTGTGATGGAGGCTTACAGAAGGCTGTTCAGGAGAGCGGTGGAGTTGGGCTTTATCAGAGGTTTAAGGGTGGATAGGAACTCAGCACATCAATTGGAGATCTCTCACTTGTTAGTTGTTGAAGATACCTTGGTGTTCTTCGATGCAGATATGTCCCAATTGAATATCTAAGGTGCAGTCTGATTTGCTTTCAGGCAGTTTCTGGCTTAAAAGTTAACGTTGGGAAGAGTAGGTTGGTTCCAGTGGGGGAGGTCTTGAAGATATCTTTCTTGGCTGATACATTTGGCTGTGGTGTTAGTTCCTTCCCCATTTCTTACCTGGGTTTGCCTCTGGGTTCGCTGCCGAGGAGCATGGCCGATTGGGATCCCATGGTTGAGAGGTTTGAGAGGAAACTTGTTGGGTGGAAAAAGCAATATCTTTTGAAGGGTGGGAGGGTCACCCGGATGAAGAGCACATTATCAAGTGCACATTATCAAGTCTTCCTACCTATTTCTTTTCTCTCTTTCAGATTTCCTCCTTGGTGGCTGCAAGGATCGAGAGACTTCAGCAAAACTTCTTATGGGGTGGTATGGGGGAGGAGTTCAAGTATCATCTCGTCTGTCCCTGCAGGCTAATCGGTGGTCTGGGAATCAGGAGGTTGGCCCCTTTTAAAAGGGCTCTCCTAGGGAATTGGTTGTGGAGGTTTGGCTTTGAGTTTGAGTGACGGAGACTTTGGAGGGAGGTTATATCGCATCGTTTTGGGGAGGAGAGAGGTCGTTGGTGCTCCCTTGCAGTGAGAATCCCTGGGGGGTCATCCGAAAATGGTGGGATGAATTCTCTAAACACGTTAAATCCGGGCTTGAGACGTAGAGACATTCGTTTTTGGGAGGACATCTGGTATGGCGATCGTTCATTGGCATGTGCTTTCCCTATGATTTTTAGGATCGCTCTTGAGTCTTGACACACTCCTTGGTCGCCGGCTGTTATCGGCTTGATAGTGGGAGGTCGACTTGGGATGTGCGCTTTTCAAGTTGATTGGGAGTTGGATGACGTGTCTAGCTTGTTGAAGTTACTGTACCAAGTAATTGATGGAGGAGGTCCGGATGTCCTTGTTTGGCTTCCCTCTTCTCACGGAAGGTTTGCTCTTCGTTCTCTATACAGGCGGATCTCGAATGCTCTGGGGCCCGCCTTGCCATGGAAGACTGTTTGGCGTTCAAAGGCTCCCCTCAAGGTGGCCTTTTTCGTTTGAACAACAGTTTTGGGGAAGATATTGACGCTGGATAACCTAACAAGGAGAAGACAGGTTGTGGTCAATTGGCATTGTATATGCATGAGAGATAGAGTCTGTTAATCATCTTCTGCACTACCCTGTTGGGGTTTGCTTTTGGGGCTGTTCGGGATCCAATGGGTCATGCCTAGGTCCTCAAAGGCCTTAAATGATGCTTGGAGAGGGTGTTTTGTGAGCTCCCAAGCCTACGACTTTTGGAGGGTGGCACCCTTTTGTGTTTGGTGGTGCATTTGAAGGGAGTGGAATAGAAGATCCTCCGATAGAGAGGAATCTCCTATTGGGGTTATGAAATTCTCTATTATTAGCTCTCTTTTCCATTGGATCAATGGGAGAAATTGTATATCTTTAGGGGAGTTAGTTGATTTTTTGGGTTCTTTGGGTTCTTAGCGCCGTGTAGCTTTTCTTGGGATGTGTTCCCTGTTTGGACGCCTTTTATACAATCTTACTTATCAAAATAAATAAATAAATACTCCCTCCGTCCCAAAATAGATGACCGCTTTGGGAACTGTGACTCACATTCAGTTTCGAAAGCGGTCAAGTACTTTGGGACAAAAGGAGTATCATTTTTTTTTATTTGAACTAATTGCATTTGTGTAAATTTCTTCTTCCCCTACTGAAGTCTAAACCTTAAACATCAAAATCAAAATGGGTTTAGCTCCTCTAAACCAAGCAATGTCTGGTAAGTTCTACAAAGCAGTCAAAACCTAGTCAGTACATAAGAAAAAGATTCCTGGTAGAGCCAATATATAGTCCCATTGAGTGGAACAGTATAAAAGATAAACCTAATTTCTTTAGCTCTACTTTTTTAATTTGCATAGGTTACTAAAAGCATTCTATAATATTTCTTTACCACACAAAGAAATAACTCAAAATGAATGGCGGATCGTCAAATCATGAAGACTTTTGTCAAAAGTGATCTACTAAAAGGGACCCAATAAAATCAAGGCTAAGTCCATTTTTGTGCTGGTGAAATGGCAATGTGTGATAACCACTAAACTGTCACATGTGCAAATGCATCGTGATTGCCCAATTGACTAGTATGATATTTAAATGACATCATGCAATAGCATAAAGCAAACCAAGAAAAAAGTTTTATCTAGCAGCAAAAAGTAACTACAAGTAAGCCAGATTGTGATGGTTGACATCCCATGGTGAACAAATCCTAGTGCCACTATTCAGTACAAATAGAAAGTGTTGGACAAGGTGAGTCCCTAAAACTCCACATAGTGGAACATAGAAGAATGTCAGTTTTATGATTAAAAATTAGGTCATGCATGAGGTCTCAGGTGCGAGTCAGAATGCAATCACCTTGTGTAAAATATTACCAAGGTTAGGTATGTCTTCAGCCTTTCCCTTCCCGCACAACCAGGACGTATAATTATCAATCAATGAAAAAACAATAACTTCAGCAGAGGTGAAAATGTTATTTGTACGAAAACATATCAGAGACAAGTTTCATGTTCCATGTCAACAGGTGACTCAAAGCAACCACTTGCGAAATACAAAATGTTAGGTCTATCTTGAGTCCCTCCAGAAGACCCTGCTGCGAACAAGGCCAGAATTGGACAATGCCCTTTCAAGTAGGTTTTAAAAATAAATAAATAAATAATAAAAAGACTGCTATATATGATTCACCACAATTAAAGTCCAACGAATGGAAACTTTTCCCCTCTGTAAGCAAAAGTAGCAAAACTTGTAACAAAATGTTACTTAGTCATGGATCTTCAGTCCATGGCATGAGCATATGGAATCAACTATGGTCTATAAAATCAAGCCCACCCAAAAAAATATAAAAGAAGCTCTCAACAGGACACAGCCGAAGGCACTTCACTCTTTACCAAGCAAGCTCTTCGGTCATCTGCTCACCAAAGCCCTTAGACACACGCTTTTTAGCAAGCTCCAGGCACAAGACAAATGCACCTCATTTATGACTTCTTTTCTAATCATTGAATCTTTTGTTTTGTTTTGTTTTTTTTTACCTTTTCTTTATAACTCTGAATGAAATATCCTAAATCATATTACGGTGTTACACGGTACATCATATCTTCTTGTTGGTGATAATTAATTATTCACATATTAAGTTGATCACGTCTGTGTCATGCAATATTGACCGAATTTGCCTCACTACTAGAATAGTTGGATGCATAACTGAATTGAATAGTTTATATGCTCAGTGATTTAGCTGACGATCTTAGTCTGCCAAAAAGTTCTTAATTTTAAAATTTCTGATCTTTTGACTAGTTTTGTGGTGCATAGTTTGGAATTGTTAAAACTATAAGTATATAATGTATCCTTCTACCACACATACTTGGACTCGTACCTTGCACTAGCCTCGTACCCGGACTCGAACATGCCTTGGTGGCTTGAGATTTTTAATAACTATAGAATCACCTTTGAATTTTTATTCTTTAATGGAACTTTTTAAAATTACCATGATTGCAAACACTGCTGTCCAGGTCAACTAAAACAAGGTAAGCCTCATGAGAAGATTCTAAATAAGGCCTTCTTATATTTAACACGAGGATATTGCAAATATGAGGCCTTAACGATCCTGAGTATAAAATTGAGTCATTTCAGGAGATTAACCAAAGAATTATGCTTCATATCCTAATTAGATGTGCATATTTATTACATTATTAGAGCAATACCATGGCGATTTCATCGATAACTTTAAATGGATGAAGACCAAAAGGTACTTGTTGAAAGAGTTATAAATTTAAGTTACACCCTCTCTAATAGCTTAAGCTTTTGAAGTAGATGGTAGTTAACAGTACTAAAAACCTATTTGAAGCTTAGTTAGAATGAATGTGAATCTTGAGCTTTATTTAAGCTCCACTAGCCAAGTCGAAACCTGACATTCACACAATTTGATATGCTCAAGGTTTTTACAAGCTTAAGCGAGTTCATTCATCAACCAAATTAAGCTTGATAAATCACAAGCCTTCTTAATTTTCTTCTAAAAAGTAACACAGATTTTTTATATTTGTAGTTACAATAATTACATAAAACCAACCTTGCAACTGTAGAAACTTTTTTTTTTTTTTTTTTTTTTTGATAAGTAACCTTGCAACTGTAGAAACTTAGAAGCCAGATTCCCTCAAGCTCACTAGTAAGAGAACTTTAATTATTACTTGACATGCTAAATCACATTTTCTTTAATGGTATGAATTAAAGGTGAGGAAGATAAGCCTATTGGCGCAATTATTTATGAGTGATTATCATCAGATATCAAGCCGATTATATAGAGTTTACATATTCTTATATGTATTACAGCTAATTTCATTATTTGAGTCCCAATTACCATGTATATCAAGCACCCACAAAGACACCATTACCTAAAAATCAACAAAAATATTCAGGGCTGTAACTGTGTGATTCAACCACATTCATTGGGGCAAATAATCAGGGCCTCCTCATAATGTATGCAAAGAAGTGTAAATATGACGAATGAATCTTGTACCGAAGCTCTGTCTCCTCAAAGTTACAAAAGGGTTGATCCCAAACTGTTGATTATAAATTTATAATACATCCACAAAGACACCATTGCCTAAAAATTAACAAAAATATATGACACTTCACATTTCAACCACTGATACGAGTTATAAACAAATAACTGGGAGAAAAAGCAAAGAAATAAAAATAAACAAACAAGAGGAACTGAATGATTTGCCATGAAATTGGAAACTTTTGACTTCTTCAAGTTAATTATAGATTTCAGAGTCCCTTCAAGTATTTTTAGGGCATTTTATCAAACGTGTGAAAACCATTGTAATTCAAAATACACAAATAAAGAGAAACCCAATAACGATAACATCTGTGTGTGGGTGAATATATATATATACACACACACATACATATATGCAGTTTTAGGATTGATTGGGAGAAAATTTTACCCAGTAGTTGTCGGTTGTCGGTCCCAAACACGGCATATAGGAAGAGAGAGTGTGAAGTTCTTGTAGTTGGTACCTTATTCCAAAGAACACAAAAAAAGTAGTTTAAAATGGAGGCCTCATCCTGTGACTGGGTTGCTTTTTTGTGATCGTTGAGTGTGTCTGTGTGCGCGTGCGTTTACGATCAAGATTTATGAACCGCCCTACCATATTTTCCGTACAGGTGGGTGGTGTCAATTTCCGACACTTCTTAACTCGGTTTAAAAAAATAAACCCAAAGTTCAGCCCGAGCCCGTCAGGCACTGCCCCGGTCTAAGTCCATTGCGGGCTACCGGACCTATAAGAAATTAAGAAGTGGCTGGGCGATCCCACTATCCTCTCCCAACCTATTACAAAGATATTCGGACATTATTTTTAGGACAAATAACACTGATTTCTCCTAAAATTTAAACAAATTACACACGGTTAAATTGTTTAGCATTTATTATTTTGAATTTTTGTGAAATTCGGTGCACGTGCTCAACGACACCATTAGCATTTACTTTCTGACAGACTTGTTGACTAAATTTTATAAAATGATATATTTGTCCTTCACACTCAAAGTCACTTTTCGGCCGCCGGGGTACCGATTCAAGGAAAATTATGGCATGTTTGGTGTGGTGGAATAAATTGGAATGGAATGATAATAGAGGTGGGAATGGAATGAGAATAATGATTCTTATTCTATGGTTTTGTTGCAAATCTGAAATGTACAAAAATTGAATCTCATTCTCATTCCGATGTTTAGTAAGAAAGTGAATTTATATTGTTTCTTTAAATTACATTTTATTATTAGTATAAAAAATTAACTAAAAAAATTAATCTGCAAAAATAAAAGGGAAAGAGATAATAGAGAGAGAAAATAGACGAGATAGAGAGAAACAGAGGGCTCTCCGATGCCTGCAAAAATAAAAGGGAAAGAGATAATAGAAAAAGAGAGAGAGAGAGAGAGAGAAAATAGGGCTCTTCGACGACTGTAAAAATAAAAGGAAAAGAGATAATTTTCCGATCATCTTTTCCTGCGAAAAAAAATAAACAAAAAGGCTAGATAATGATTGAGAAAGTTGCTTAATAGAGCACAAAAACTCATAGAAGTTCAATTACAGTATTTTTGTCTCATCCTTGTGTGTGTAAATCGGAGAGAGGAAACAAGCGGCATATAGATACATATTATATATATTATATATTATATAGTGTGTGTATGCGTGAATTATCTCTTTAAATTACTTTATTACTTTATTAATTCTTGGTGGGAATGGAATGGTCATTCCACTTCTCAAGAAGAGGAATGGGCATTCCACCTTTTTGATGGAATGGGTATTTCCTGGGAATGGCCATTCCACTTTTAATGTGACACACTAAACAAGAGAATGGAAACAAATGCATTCCATTCCACCTTTATTTGATTCCATTCACTCACACCAAACATAGCTTTAAAGTAATACACGTTGAATGGTCGACTTGAATGTAATTTGCCCCAGTGTAACTATTATAAATATGAAAACAAATATAAAAGATGTAAGCAAAAGTTTTAAGAAAAGAGAGAAACGGAGCTTCTTTATATACTTTATGATTTTGTTACATATTGCATACACGTCATCATCATATATATAGCCACAGCCTAAGCTTGTCTAGCAAGCTAATGAATCAAGTTGAAAGGCCACGTTCATAGACACCTATATGGTGTATGAAATTGCAAGGCTTTCTGCATATCCACCTATAAGCATACTTTATTGTGGACCCCAACTAATATATATCTATAACACTCCCTCTTGAGGTCCACAATGACACACTAAGAATATGCCTTATTAAAACCTTGCTAATGAAAACTCAATGGGACAAAACCCTAACGAAAGAAAAAGAGTACAGTATTCTTGTGTATTTGAAAATGGTATTGCATAGGTTAAAACTACTTCATAAAAACCTTGCCAGGAAAGCCCAGTGGGACAAACTCTGGACGAAGGAAAAGGAGTACAGTATGCTAATACCTTTTTAACCAATTGCTCCCCCTCATTGTTGCATTAGTTCAACACTGAAGATTCTTAAGTTGACGCATTCCAATATTGTGTGCTAACTTCTTGAATGTTGTAGTTGGAAGCGATTTAGTGAATAAATCTGCTAGATTGTCACTAGAGCGTATTTGTTAAACATCAATGTCACGGCTCTTCTAAAGCTCGTGTGTGGAGAAGAACTTTAGTGAAATATGTTTGGTTCTATCACTTTTGATGTAACCTCCTCTTATCTGTTTGATACAAGCAGTATTATTTTCGTATAAAATTGTGGGGCTACCTATTATTGGAGAGAGTCCATATGATTCCCGAATATGTTGTATCATAGATCCCAACCAAACATATTCTCGACTTGCTTCATAAATTATGAGGATCTCAGAGTGATTTAAAAAAGTTTCAATCATTGTCTGCTTTATAGATCACTATGATATAGCAGTATTTCCACAAGTAAACACATACCCTGTTTGGGATCGAGCTTGATGTGGGTCAGAAAGATATCTTGCATTTGCATATACAATCAATTGGGGCTTTAATATTTTTTAATAGAACAACCTTATATTAGTAGTTCCACGAAGATAAAGCAGAATGTGCTTGACCCCATTCCAATGTCTCCGAGTTGGTGCAGAATTGTACCGTGCTAGTAAGTTGACTAAAAATGCTATGTTAGATCGAGTGCAATTTTTAAAATACATCAGAGCACCAATTACACTAAGATATGGTACTGCAGGACCAAGAAGTTCTTTATATTCTTTAGGACGAAAATGATCTTTCTTAATATCAAGTGATTGAAGTATCATTGGGGAGTTCAGTGGATGAGCCTTATCTATATAAAAGCGCTTCAGGACTTTTTCTACATATATTGACTAGTGGATAAGAATTCCATTTGGTAAATGCTCGATCTGTAGGCCGAGACAAAATTTTATTTTTTCAAAATCTTTTATTTCAAATTTCTTTTTCAAATAATTAACAGTCATGGTGAGCTTGTCAGGAGTTCCCACAAGATTGAGATTTGGAAACTTGGGATGTCATTAAGTATTGAATATGGCTAGGACTTGGTTATAGTATGGGAGATATGAGAACTCCCTACATTATAGTGCGCACTAGGGGAGGGTACCCATGGGCTAGTAACCCAAAAGTGACAAAAATAGTACAGTTCTAATCTGGCACGATGTCCAAGTATCCACATTTGGTTGATTTCACACTTTAAATTTTAAGTTGTTATCCTTAAAGATTTAAAACTTGTTGTGTTGTATGGAATATTTCAATATTGTTTAATTGCATTAATATTGTGATTCGTGTTAAATTATGCTAATGTGGCTTAGGAATGATCCTATAGATACATTTTGACTTATACTCTAGGCGGCATGGACCACATGGATTGATTTATATTAACGTGCAAAGCTTTTAAAATTTTAGGTTATACGCATATTCATCTCCTACGAATAACTTGTTTACTCACCCTATGGTTTGGAGTTATTTTTCTGGTAAAGAAACCATGTTTTGGGATACACAACATCCCTAGATTTACTTGAATATCTTGAAGTGTTTTGGAGTACTTTAAAGTATTTGTTTTATGCACTTGTTAGCATGATTTTGCTTTGCTTTGGATTAAAATGTCAAATTATGTATCTTTTGATCAAACTATGTAATGTGCATTTAAGTTCACCTTCTGTGACTTACTTGGATATGTACATAATGAGGTCAAGGGCCATAGTCATTTATATTACATGTATGTTATTTTGATTTCATAGTTCATTTATGAAATTTATTAGATTCTTAGGTTTGATAGGTCATATTTTGTATATGACATGCTATGAGACCATAGGCCATTGGAACACGTGTATTTATGCTAATTACGTTTGCGTGCATGATTGTTTTTGAGCTTAGAGTCATATTTTTCAAAATAAGTACTCTATGGATTTATTTTGACACTTTTTCTGCATAATCTGGTTTAAGGGCATTTTGGAAATTTATTTTTAAAAATAAACTCGGGCCTTAACATGGTCACATAGAAAACGTGATTTTAGGGAGGATTTATTCTTCGTGTTTTTTCAGAAAATGTCGTTTTGGTTCTGGAAATCCCGCGTAAAGTTCAGTTTTCTGTTTTATTTATTTTAGCAGCTTTACATGTTTTAAACATTTTTAACCTGATTTCCCTTGCGGGTATTTTCATCATTTTTCCTTGTTTTCCAATTGTGGTTTGGACCATGGTTGATCAGAAAACGTGATTTTAGGAAGGTTTCTTCTTTGTGTTTTTTCAGAAAATATCATTTCGGTCTCAAAAACCCAGTGCCAAAATATGATTTTCTAGTTTAAGAAATTTTCAGGAAAAAGTCTGATCTAAGGGGCATTTTTGGTATTTCACTTGAAAAATAAAATTTTCTGTCAACATGGTTGTATAGAAAACATGATTTTAGGAAGGGGCCCTCAAAAGTCCATTTGAAACTCAAACTTTGCTGTAGGCCCATTGGTTGTCAGGATGGCATGCTATGGCTACCTTGCGCGCGCGGCATGTCGAGCGCGATTGCGGCGTGTGCCATGGAGCGCTCATGGCATCCCCTGTGGCAGCCCCGCAGCCCCGTCTTCTTTGGCCATAACTTCTTCGTTCGGACTCCGAATCAGGCAATTCTTGTGTCTAACTTCGTTAATTTTTCGTTGTCTATCCCATGGTGTGCTTGGTAGTACCCACTTTTATTTTGAAATGACCATGTTTATCCCATGGTTGCATTTGTCCATTTTTAAAACGTCGTCGCTTCCGCATTTTGTTATCTTTTGAGTTCCGTAACTTCGTGGGAAGTTACATTCGAGTATTAGAGATGACGTATATCTCTAGAGACTTCATTTTTGGGTGAAAAGACTATTTTGTCCTTGGGGCCATACTTGGTCTATTTTCGACCCTAGCTTCAGTTTTTGTTCCCGTTGAGTTTCGTGACCTCATGGTAGGTCACTTTGGCGTCTAATAGATGTGTGTGTCTCTAGGGACCTTTGTTTTGTCTTTTTCTTCCTCATTTGGGATCCATTTTCGGGCTATCTTTCGGGTCATCAAAGAAAGCACTGGCTTAAAAAATCAAGACCGTCACATTAGCTAACCACCAAAGAGTCAAAGACCCATCCATAACCTATTTAGATTGTGG